ATGTCTTCTTCTTCTGTTTCTTCTCCTCCTCCTCTTCCTCCTCCTCTTCCTCCTCCTCCTCCTCCCCCACATGACTCATCCACCACCTCCTCTTTCCTTCCTCCTTGTCTCTCCTTGTCTCTCTTCCTTCTCCTCCCTTTCCTCCTCCTCCTCCTCCTCCTTCCTCCTCCTCCTGCCGCATCCCTCCTCCCCATCCTCCACCTCGTGCGAGCGTCTAGACCGCCTCCACGTGAACACACACACACACACTGACCCTGCTCCTCCTCCTAGGGCGGCTGCTTCTTCGCTTGTGGCCCCACGGGCCTTGGGCTGTGCCCCAGGCTTGCGGCGGCTCTCGTGCGCGCGCAGCGCCACAGGCACGGGCTCCGCACGGGCAACCTCGAGGGAGGATGACGACGAAGAGGGGGAAGGCGGAGGGGAGGAAGAGCTGAGGGGAGGAAGGAGGAGGCGGGGGAAGGGAAGGAGGAGTAAGAGAGGGGGAGCGCAACAATTCGAACAAGTGTGTCTGCCCTGGCCCAGCGGGTTGTGCATGCTGCGCAGGTCAGCCTCACAATGGCGGGATGTGCCGCAAAACGGGCAGAGGGGGGGGGGGGGGGGGAACACCCTCCACCAGGCGCGGACTAAAGCCCCCGACTGGAAAATCAAGCGGGTCTGTGGTGACCAGGCCGTTGCACGCCCCATCTGCATACCCGAACCACCAAGGGCCGGTGTCCAGCGCGCTTTCACCTGTGCGCATCGGCACTTCAGTGAGAGGTGGCGCCGCCTAGAGGCATCCCCCGCAGCGGCCCAGCGCAAAGACTGCAGAACAGGCTGTTTTCGGAGCGCGCCTGGGAAAGGACAGGCTAGCACTGGTGTGCTAGCGGCGAACTGCAAGACGCTTCTGGATGCGTCCATGGAAAGCGACCCCAAAAGAAGCGGTCGGACGGAAGGCCTGCTGCAGGTCGTTCCATGCAGACTGAGCTCGCTCTAAAATGTCCATAAGAGGACTAAGCTGTTCCTGGATGCACAGGAACATCTGCACAAGGTTTGTGGCATGCTCACTGCGCGCCATGGAATCTAGCTGGTGCCCCTCCATGGTGTGATCGACGCCGACGTCGCAGCAGCTTTCTGTCGCACGGGCTACAGCTTTCGGCGACGAGTTCGGCCGTCGGAGATGGCCTTCGTCGCCGCACTGGCTGCCGCCGGTGTTTCTCTGAGCGATGTCAGGGGTTGGCGCGGTGGTTCCCTAGTGGGTCCCTGCGGCATGCTGGTATTGCGTCCTGCATGGCTGCTGGCAGGCCCCCTTGGCAGCCCTGTTGGGCTGCGACTGGTGCGCTGGCGCTCACGCGCTGGATGCACGCTGTGCTCGCTGGTGCCTTGGTGACGCTGCGCCTCCTTGAGGACCTGTCTTGCGCATGTTGGATTGCACGTTCTGGGTCAGACCCCTGCAGATGACGCCGATGGCCTGATTTGGGCCGTGCCCGAACGCATTTGCGATGGTTCGCGCGCTGGTGCACTCGAGCCCCGCATGTTCGGAGTGTTCCTGCCTGCTTGAGCTGTTGGTTTACCCACTGGCGTCTTGGCCTCGCTCGTTTCAGACCACGCCCACTTCCTGAAGGTATGAGACATCAGTTGCTCCTCGCAGGTCTCATTCAATTTGATTGAAACAGGGGAGATCCACAGTTGGGCCAGGCCGAGGAGAGGTTCGTCAAGGAGGATCCCCCCGGCTGAACACTATGCTGCGACCGCTTGCGGACAGCGTAGCGCCACACTGCGTGGCCACTCTAAGTTTGTGTCTTGCCCCTCGCCACGTCACGAGCAATGACCCTGGCTGAAGGACTGTTGGGTAGATGAGACTGGCTGGGTGGTTGGTTGCCCAGCCTGTACCTTTGGACCGTGGCCTTGGAGCCGCCCGAAACAACTGGCGCGTGTTGGGCTGCGGAGATAAACGCGACGATGGGGACATCGGCCCTGCGCCCCTCCCTGCTCTGACTGGTTGATGGCCGTGGCGCAGTCGCTGGCGGCGTGGACAGGGTGCGCACTGACGTAGCCGCGGTCCGGTGAGCTGGCACCTGATGCCTCCCAGCGCGGTCTGGAATCAGGGTCCAACCATGGCAGCGTATCCGGTCTAAAACTCCCACACGCGTTGCTTTGAAGAATAAGCAGTGCTCAAGGACGTGCGCAAATGGTTCTGCGAGGTCCCAAGCAGGGGGAAGTGGAAGAGGAGGGAGGAAGGAGGACGAGGAAGGGAGGGAAAGACGGGGGAGGGGAGGGAGAGGAGGAGAAGGAGGAGGAGGGGCCTCGAACACGCTCTTGTCCACGTGGTCGTTGAACCTGAGGGGTAGACCGAAGCCTCTCCTGCCCAATAGACCCCGGGGACGGGAAAGGGGGGGGGGCGGCCGCTGGGTGTTCGATGCGTTCGGTGTGGGAGCATCTTGCGCCGACTTCCTGCCGCCCCTGCTTCTCCACCTCCTTCGCATCATCCATATATTACTCCTCCGCCGCTTCCCTAATGCACCTGATTAATACAAATCCTCCTCCATGTTCCTCCTCCTCCTCCTCTTCCTCCTCCTCCTCTTCGTCTGCACTTATACTCCTGCGCTGCTACTACTACCACTACTACTACTGCTACTACTACTACTACTACTACTACTACTACTACTACTACTACTACTACTACTACTACTACTACTACAACACTACTACTACTACTACTACTACTACTAACTACTACTACTACTACTACTACTACTACTACTACGGCTACTACTACTACTACGACTACTACTACTACTACTACTACTACTACTACTACTACTACTACTACTACTACTACTACTACTACTACTACTACTACTACTACTACTACTACTACTACGACTACGACTACTACTACTACTACTACTACTACTACTACTACTACTACTACTACTACTACTACTACTACTACTACTACTACTACTACTACTACTACTACTACTACTACTACTACTACTACTACTACTACTACTACTACTACTACTACTACTACTACTACTACTACTACTACTACTACTACTACTACTACTACTACTACTACTACTACTACTACTACTACTACTACTACTACTACTACTACTAACTACTAACTACTAACTACTAACTACTATCTACTATCTACTAACTACTAACTACGAACTACGAACTACTAACTACTAACTACTAACTACTAACTACTAACTACTACTACTACTACTACTACTACTACTACTACTACTACTACTACTACTACTACTACTACTGCTACTAGCACGGGGTGCGAAGAAAAGGCCTCTGAAGGGGCCTTTTTCTTCACTCCCCATTTGGGTCACCCCCCATTACAACCCGCCCGAAAGATGGCGGCGGCAGACCTCACATTGACTATTGGCTTCGCGGCATGCGAAGCTTTCACCTTGCCCGCCTGCGGACGTCGAGACGAGGACGAAAACGACGACAACGACGACCAATACTACGACGACGACGACGACGATCACGACGACAACGACGACGACGACGCCGATGACGACGACGATCTTCTCGACGACGATCACGACGACGACCTCCGCGGACGATTAGGTCCGCCCGCTCACCTGATGGAGGTGCGCCGCGTCGAGTTTTCGGCCTCCATGGCCTGGATGCCGGAGCGCTTCGGGATCCTTCGTCGCTGTCGCAGCCGCCGTCGTCGTCGATTCGTCGTCGAGGTCGCCAAGGTCGTCACTGTCTTCGGATTCCTGCGGGGGCCTCCTGAATCTAAGGGTCCACTCGATCCGCAAACCCCGATGTGCGACCGTCGTCGCCGCCTCCGTGATCGTCGTCGTCGTCGTCGTCGCCTTCGTGATCGTCGTCGTCGCCTTCGTGACCGTCGCCGTCGTCGCCGAGGTCGTCGTCGTCGTCGTCGTCGTCGTCGTCGCCGGGATCCTGATGGCGGGCACGGCAGGCCCGGCGGCCGCGGCCGCCGGCGGAGGCCTGGGCTTCAGGCAGGGCTTCAGGGGGCGCGGCGCCATCGCGCCACCTGCGCCGCGCGAGACCATCCAGCAGCCCGAACGGCGACGGCGGCGACGACGACGACGACGACGACGACGGCGGCGGCGGCGGCGGCGGCGGCGGCGGCGGCGACGGCAGCAACGACGATGACGGCGGTGGCGGAGGGCGGCGACGACGACGACGGGGACGACAACGACGGGGCGGCGTGACTCTCCAGCTTTTGCCCTGCTGGAGGCAGCCCCCAGACAAGAACTGCTCCAGAGGGAACGCCAGCCCCAGGGAAGGGGTCGGGAATCGAGAGGCTCAGGGGACCGCGCCTCGAAAAAATCGAGCCGGCGGATGCCTGGGCTTCGTTCCCTCGCATCCCGGCGTCGCCCACAAAGACACCACGGGCTGTGTGGCCCAGATTGGGTCACGTCACAGGGGGCCCTCACGGGCAGGCACACTGCTCACGATCACGAATGAGGATGGGATGACCCAGACCCCCGAAGTCGCGATGTTTCCTAACCATCCTGTGGTGTTGGGTCCTCCTTTTGAAAAGACAGCGCCCCGCGTTCCTCACTCCCTCCATCCCCCCTCCCTCCTCCCTCCCTGCGTTTCAACCACCCAGTACAGCGGTTCGAGGCCCGGTAGGGAGCTCCACCGAAGGCCCCACTGCCACCGTCCGCATGCGTCCCGAAACCCCCAATTTGGCATTTTCACCCAACCAGTACAGCGCTTCGTGGCCCCATAGGGAGCTCCACCGCGGGCCCCAGTGCCACCGTCCGCACGCGCCCCGAAACATCAAATTTGGCACTATCACCCACCCAGTACAGCGTTTCGTGGCCCCACAGGGAGCTCCACCGAGGGCCCCAGTGCCACCGTCCGCATGCGTCCCGAAACACCCCATTTGGCATTTTCACCCACCCAGTACAGCGCTTCGTGGCCCCATAGGGAGCTCCACCGAAGGTTCCAGGCCTACCGCCCGCATGCGTCCCCCCCACCCGGTACAGCGCTTCGTGGCCCCATAGGGAGCTCCACCGAAGGTTCCAGGTCTACCGCCCGCATGCGTCCCCCCACCCAGCGCTTCGTGGCCCCATATGGGAGCTCCACCGACGGCCCCAGTGCCGCCGCCCACATGCGTCCCCCCCACCCGGTACAGCGCTTCGTGGCCCCATAGGGAGCTCCACCGAGGGCCCCAGTGCTACCACGCGCATGCGTCCCCCCCACCCAGTACAGCGCTTCGTGGCCTCCTAGGGAGCGCTACCGAAGGTTCCAGTGCTACCGCCCGCATGCGCCCCCCCCACCCAGTGCAGCGCTTCGTGGCCCCATAGGGAGCTCCACCGACGGCCCCAGTGCTACCGCCCGCATGCGTCCCCCCCATCGGGAGCTCCACCGACGGCCCCAGTGCGACCGCCCGCATGCGTCCCCCCCACCCGGTACAACGCTTCTTGGCCCCATAGGGAGCTCCACCGAAGGCCCTGGTGCTACCGCCCGCATGCGTCCCCCCCACCTAGTACAGCGCTCCGTGGCCCCATAGGGAGCTCCACCGACGGCCCCAATGCTACCGCCCGCATGCGTTCCCCCCCACACAGTGCAGCCCTTCGTGGTCCCATAGGGAGCTTCACCAAAGAAGGTATTCACAATTGCGCCACCCACAACTGCATATGGTTGGGTCCTTCGCCAGGATAATGTTGTCGACCCCCAGAGGTCTGGACCCCTTCCTCGAGACCAGGTTTTCATCCTGAGCCGTTTTGTTGACCGTGCCGAGGCCCGGTACGGGCCCCCTCTCAAGCGAAAACAGCAAACAACCTCCCGGCCGTGATTTTTCCACAGGGCGAGGGGGTCTGGGGAATAGCTCCCGTCGTGGATGTTCCGCGACTTCACCCGAATCTCCACGGCGGCGGATGCCTCGGCGTCCGAAGTTCCCACGCAGCGACGACGACCTCCGCGGACGTAGTCTTGCTTCAATCCACGGCCCGGGAATCCCAACCCCTTCCCCAGGGGGTAGATGTTCGCCCCGGGTCCGTGTTTGATGGTCCCCAGGCACGATGACTGGCCCCAGGGGCCGACATCGAAGAGAAAAGCTCAGATAACAAAAAAAATCCTCGGAGATCTGGGAAGATCGCGCGCCACCTTCGTCGTTAGTGTCCAGTGCGGAGATAAAGCCCTTGCGTGTCGCCGGGAAGGTCGCCGAAGTCGTCAACGGAGACGTCGCCGAGGGCCCGGTCGTCATTAGTTTGGGGGGCTTGAGCGGCTCCGACCACGTGGGCGCAGGAGACGCCTGCCCTGACGCGAACGGCGCTGATGCACCGAACCGTGTTGCCATGTTGGGGGTCCCCGTCGTCGCCGATCTCGGACGGGTACAATCAACGTGAGGCAACGTTAGGGCTGGACTGGCTCAAAGAAGGAAACATCGACCTGGAATCGGCGATAAATCGCCGATAGATCGGTAGTAGGCCCCTGATAGCGAAACCACACATTCCTGGGCGGGGTGGGCTATCGGGCCCTTATCTGCGATGAGTGTGCGATTATGGGGGTCGATGCATCCCCTCCTGAGCATATCCCCCCCTAACGCTGCCCCTGAATCAACGTCTTGCCACAACGAACTTAATTCTTGACCCCAGTCCGCGTCTGCCTTAAACTACGAGAGGACACCCGAAGAAAAGCCGAGGCAAGGACACATGGAGCCCCGAGCATGTTCGGAGGTCCATGCTGGCCCTTGTTCCAATGCTGTGGCAGTACTTTGCATAGCGTTTGGCTGCCCTGGGCAGCGAGAGACTCCACGCCGCACTGCCCATGGACCACCGAAGTCGTGATCTGTTCACGACATGGAGGCCTGGAGATTTCGCCCCCTTCCCCGAGACCGGCGTTTCACCCTGAGTCGCTTTTAGACGGGCCTGGGTGACGACCCCCTCCCTGGGCCGAAGATGACCAAAAACCTTCCGCCGAGCCTCTGTCAAAGTCGGGCATGTCCTCCGACAGGCGGGTTTTGGAGGAATATTCCAAAATAGTCACACACACACACAAAAAAAAAAAAAATGCCCCCCGACGCTTGTTCTACTATGTTTGAACTTTCCTCCTGTAGAGGGGCATGCCCGACTCGACGCAGGGAGGGTCCGGGCGCGCTGCGGGCCCAAGATCGGCGACGCAACGGGGGGATGCCGGCAGGGCACGGTGCACGGGCCCCGTTCACGGCCCCTCGCCGGGAGGAGGCTCGACCATCTGGATGTCCTGCATGAGGTTCGCCGCCTGCTGCGCGGCCGCCGGGAGGGGCGCCACGCGGGGGGACAGGATCCTCTCGCTCTTGGGCGCGGGGCCCTTCCGCATCACGGGATCCGCGAAGTGCTTGAACAGCATGAACCTCGGAGGGGGCAACCAGCGGGGGGCGATCAGAAAGTGCCGCTGCCGCTGTGCGGCGAGGGCAGTGGCTCCACCACCTGGCCGCTGGGCACGGAGTGGACGTGTCCTCAGGTCCTTGCCTGATACATTTCGGGAATGGACAGACCCCCCTTTAGTAAAACGTGGTTTAGTGAAAACGACCTCGGGCCCAAACCTGGCGGGCGCAAGCCTGGAAAATGACGGCCGCGGCGCCCTCTCGAGAACCGAAAACGGACAATTCACTAATCGACGTGTCAGGGCAGGAGGTCTGTCCACCCCCGAACATTTAGCACTCCGGAGGATCTTCAGGGGGCCCGGACACCGAATGCTCCAATCCCCCAGGCCTGGCGCCTACGCCTCTGGGGCTCGGTCGCGCCCTGTCGCTGGACCCGTTCGGGCCCAGGACGGCCCCCAGGACGGGCCAGGACGGGCCCCAAGAGGCCCCCGAAGGCGGTCCAAAGGGGGCCCCGAGGCGCCGATCGACCGCACCAGGACACCCAGGATGGCCCCCCAGGACGGTCCGAGAAGCCGCCAAGACGCCCCGAGAGGCCTCCAAGAGGCCTCCCAATGGGGCCCCGAGAAGCAACAGTCAGTGATTCCTTACAGACGAAAATGTTGTCAGGCCAGCTTGCCGGAGGTTTATCAAAACAAACCTGGGCCAACTTCTGTGTTAACGATGGGGAGACGAACGTGCTCAAGAGACGGGGCCGGCTCTCGCTTGCAAGTTGGTTAAGGAACGTCGGCCCAACTGCTCGGGAGGAGGTTTCTTAATCAGATGCTCGACTGTAGTTGTTTTAAGGTTTTGGGCGTTCTCGCCATTTCTGCGTCTGACGATCCAGGGCCCCCAGGACGACCAAAGAACGCCCAAGAGACACACAAGACGGCCCAAGAGGGGGCCGAGCTGGGGCCCAACGTTTAGCCACAGAGGCGCTTCCCAAAAGGCAGGGGGCAGCGGTGATTCGCCGCAGGCGTCTTCGATCAGGAACCATTAAATGAGGAATCCAGGGTCTGGAAGCTGGTGGAGCACCAACAGAGGCCTGGCCATGGCCAGCCCCGCCGCCCTCATCAGACGAGGAATCCTCCAGCCCTGGGACCCGACGCAGCGAGAAAGAAACTGCGGCATCCTGGAAAGTCACGCCCGGCGCCCTGGGCCCCGTCCTTTGCGCCATGCTTCGCCCCGGGGCCCGAATTGGCGGCGCGTACAAGGGGGTGGAGGGAGGGGGGAGGGCTTCTTAGAAGGAGGCTGCTTCTTAGAAGGCGCCGGCCGTACATCCATAGATAAGGCCCGCGCCCTCTAAGAAGCAGGGGTGCTCCTAAGAAGCCCTCCCCCCTCCCCCAGGAGAGCCCAGAATCGAATCGATAAGTCGGATCGGCGATCGACATGAATCGGGGGAATCGAAACGAGCCCTGCTCCCCCCAACCCCCCTCTGCGCGGGGCGGACCGAAAGGGTGCGCAGACACGCCCGGCTCCGAAAAAAAAGGCAGCGCCGGGACCTCGGGGAGGGCCTGGCGCCTCCGCGGGGGCACCTGCCTCGACCCGCGCCCCCGCCGGGCTCCGTACGGGCCGAGCCCTGGGAGGGCCGGCCCGACCGGGACGGCGAGGCAGGCCGAGCCGCAGCGACGAGGGCCGGGCCGCGGCATCGGCGCCGCGGCCTCCCGCGACCGGCGCCCTCGCCCGCCTCGCTCGCCCGCCCGCCCCGGCCACTGCGAGCACGGGCCCTGCCCGGAGAAGCCTTCGGTGGCAGCTCCTGTGAGCAGCGTTCCGCCGATCCCCATCCCCAGCGGCGTGGCCCGGGCCCCGCTGGCCGATCTGCCCCCCTGGATGAGGATGTTGGTCGTTCCCTTCGGGTCTCGAGGGGCGTGTCCCCAACTGGGGCGGTGATTTGGTGGGGGTCTCGAAGGGGATGGGGATGGGGATGGGGATTGGCTAAACGATACCGATCATGGGAGCCTCTCATGCCATCTTGTCGGCTCTTGCGAATCGACGCAAATCGACGCTAGTCGACGTTTGTCGACGCTAATCTTAGGTCGGGCGTGTCCCCCTACAGGCGGATTTTGGCCGAAAACAAACAAGAACAAAACAAAAAAACGACAAAAATACCCACAAATATTCAAAAAAACATCAAACAAATCGTCCCCAGACTATTCGTTTACTATTTTGGAATATTCCTTCTGTAGAGGAACAGGCCCGACTCAACGCTAATCGACGCTGGCCGACGCTAACTCGGAGCTCGTTCCTCGGCGCCTAGACGCTAATCGACGCTCTAAGCGACGCTAGAAACAGAGTAAGAGGGTACACGAGGCTCCCATGATTTGCTACCCCGTGTGGGAGCCCCCTTTCGGCCCCAGTCGGGGCCGTCCTTGAGAGGATCGTGGCAGTCCCAGCAGGTGGTGATCGTCCACGTCCCCAGTGCCAGTCGGTGCTCTTGCAGTGGGCACAGACTAGAGCACTAGAGAGCAGAAAGTCCACCCTCACAATAATCACCACGACACACGAATCCGTTCAGTAAACGCACCCATAGAAGAAATCGAACAGGGCAGGGCTGTTTAGTAAACGCCCAGGGCCGTTTAGCAAACGTCAATAATCGGGTCCGGGTGTTTCTTCCTTCCTAGACATACGACATACCATCAGAAATCTGCATGTCATGGATACGGGGCG